TAGGGAAAAAACCCTTTTAAAAAAGAAAGAAAAAATACCTCTGAAATAGAATTCAAGTTTTAAAGTCATTTAAACAAAACCTTTCCAATGTGATTGCAGATATGAATGAACACAGCTCCAGGAGCCACAGTATTTTCCTTATTAATATAAAACAAGAGAATGTGGAAACGGAGAAGAAACTCAGTGGCAAGCTTTACCTGGTAGACTTGGCTGGCAGCGAGAAGGTAATCCCTCCTTTTCCTAAACTACTGAATCAGCCCAGTGGGATCAGTAATGTGTGTCAGCGCAGACTGAGCTAGCTACAGTTACTGAAGTTTTATCTCACGTTAGTGTGGTAATTTCATTTTATTTTTAATGTAGGATGTAGAAAAGGAACAGAGCAAGACTTTTTCGTGGTATGAAATGCAAAACTCAATGCTCTCAAGTGGATTGAACTGGTGTACTTTGATGTAGCTTCACATTTAGTTATGGTTATTTGAATAAAGTAATATAATGTTTATGTAATTTGTCATATTAGGCTGCTATTTTAATTTGCTTATGTTCAGACATGCCTTGTTTTTAGGTTTTCTGTAATTATTACACATATTAGATGAGTGAAATAACAACAGTGGTCCCCAAGTGTCCTCAGGAGAGCATGGACCAGCTTTTCCCTTAGCAAAGTAAGAGCGAGCTTGCTCTTAGACTGGAAGCAAGGCAGAGTATTACAGGCTCCCACTAACTGAAAAATGCATTTAAAATTCTCCTCCTTCGTGTTGAGGATAACCTGGCTTTGATTTTCTTCCCAGAGCATCTCTAAGTGTTGCAGTCTCTGCATTGCTGCTGTATTTGTACCGGCTGAGCCTGACTGTTGCCCACTCTCTTCTTTAGGTCAGCAAAACCGGAGCGGAGGGCGCTGTTCTCGATGAAGCTAAAAATATCAATAAGTCTTTGTCTGCGCTAGGCAATGTGATATCGGCCTTGGCAGAAGGGACTGTAAGTAATCCTGTTTTGTGGTGTTGAAGAATGGCTTTTTATTTATCTGTTCCTTTGCCGTGCACATCAAAAACTCGGCTAACATTTCAATTCAGAAAGAAGAAAATATTACCTTTCCAACCGCAAACAGTGACACCTCTGCTATTTTACTACAGATAAGAAGCTCATTCTGAGTGATTGCACTCGAGTGGTTACCCAGTCTTAGCACAATCAAATGAATTACTCTGCAGGATTGTACGCTTCAAATCCATTAAATCTATCATTGACGACTCACGTTCTCTCTCATTACAATATCATTTGAAGAAATTGTTCTTGTCTTTTATATTTGGATTAGAAAACGCACGTTCCATACCGAGACAGCAAAATGACCCGAATACTTCAGGATTCCCTGGGCGGGAACTGCAGAACCACCATCGTGATCTGCTGCTCTCCTTCCGTGTTCAACGAAGCAGAAACAAAGTCAACCCTGATGTTCGGGCAGCGGTGAGTCCTCCTCGGCATTGGGTTGAATGATGCTTACTCGGCCTCTTCCACATTTTCGGAGCCAGCTGTGCCACAGGGAATGAGATGAGTGGGCGTTTTAAAGTAGGGAGGTTATGGTTTCTGGAGTTGTTCAAAAATAGCACTGGAGAACTCGCAAAAACTGTCTCTTTATTCCCTGTAGTACCAGGAAACTGTAAATGTTGGCCAGAGGCCGCACTACTTAGAAGCTCTGGTAATTTTTCCTGCAGAAAGTACAAAGCGTTATGGTAGTTCTTTGAAATTTTATGGGGAAGATAACGGCATCGGGCAGTTTTCTGTTAGCTAACTCAGTGGAAAACGTTCGGTTTTGTTTTATCTGATACTGCTCTTGGTGCTTTTAAGAGGTGTCTTCTGCTTGGATGGCATCTCAGGGATTATTGTCAGGGTCATAAAAAGTATTTTTTAACCATTAAGGAAAATGAAGGATGTGGACGCAGGGTAATATCGACAACTTTGGTAGATTACCATGGTAGCTCACAGACGTTTTTATATGATTGAAGGATCATAACAGTTTAGGAACAAATCCTCAGAAACAAGCAAGGCTAAAATAAATGTGGAAGTGTTGCGAGAGAGAATTTCTTTTCCATATGTGTTTGTTGGCAATAGTCACATCAAATACATTTGGAATATTTACAAAAATAGGTCAGGCTCATAACATAATTACTGCATTTGTTGTAATGGAGGAGAACTCTGTTACTTTGGAAAACTGCTCACTTTATTTGTATATGCTTATTTGTGTAATGGCAGGAAGAAAAAGTACTAGCAAGTGATGACTGTTTGAAATACAATTTATTTAACGGTTTGTACAATGTAATTAATTTGTCTTTGAAAATGGGTTGTTTTCCACCATGCATAATCTTTGCACTGAAGCCCATAGTGTTATAGAACATTTTATACTAGAAAGTAAAACAGTGTATAAAAAATTCATCTGACAATCTTCTATTAATTCATTATCCCACTTTTATCCTTTAATGTGAGCTTTCCTTAGATTTTAGTGAGGGAAGATGATCCTTTCAGTGTGTCCATGTGAGTGTATGTAAAAGTGCAAGACAAACATGTGGCATTGTCAGCACCAGGACGAACTTGTCCTGTCACCTGCTGCTGGGATTTGGGGAAGGTGAGGAGGGACCCATGTGCTGCAAGCCAGGCAGCTGCTAAAAGCATGAACGTCAGTTTAAGTTATCAAAGTTGTAAGCTTCTACTGAAACCCTATATGTTATAATGTGCATCATAGACATTTTGAGTAAACACCAATATTAAGATGCAGTAATTAAATAAGGGCTATCAACAATTCTGAAGTATAATGAGTTGCACAGGTTTTGTTGATGGTAAAAGTTTAAAAGTTGTGATGGTTGACAGTTTAAACCTCCCTATGTGTGCAGGGGGGTTCGCTGAGTGTGAATCTGGCACCTCTGTAGAACAGAAGAGCAGTCCCAAAATTCCTGCTAATTCACTCCACAGAAGGCTCCAGGGCAGTAACGCAGCCGCAGGGGTATTTAATTTTCAGTACATGAGTAGGTGCTGTGCTGTGTTAGGTTTCAGTCTGCTTCCTGTTATGCTGAACTCTGTCTGCAGGTATGGTTTGGAGTAAAAAGAAATGTAAGCTGTAAAATGGAATAGTTCAGATTAAGGGCATTAAAAGTAGTCTGGTTTTATTTATTTGTTTGTTTATCTAGATTAAAAGGGGTTTGCTTTTGCTCTGTGATGTGTAGCAGTGCTCCAGAGTCTCTGGGAAGTTGCATGCTTGGGTACTTGAGGAAGTGTGTGTAGTGTCCCTGTTATTTCAATTCAGGTTTCTTTTGGTTTCAGTTCTCTTTTCAGTAATTGGTAAAACTTGCCATTCTGTTTGGAGCAAAATAGTTTTCAGACTGACTGTGCACATCCTGAACAGCGGAGCCTGGAGAGATGTGACACGACTGACACTTTTGTAGGAAGAGGAACATTTTGAAGATGTTCCTTACAGAGGGGTAGGATGGCACCTGAAAGAACTGGAGAAATAGTTAAATACTTTATGACAGTGCTCAGCCCGGGTTTATTTGTGTGCTGAAGAGCTACAGATTTGGGCTGAAACAGGAGATCCTCACGGTGAACATTCAATTGTAAGACAGGAAATACAAGTAGGAGGACAGGTGAGGTACCAAACCTGCAGAGCAGCACACGTAATTTATGTACACAGTGGTATTTGCCAGCTTTTTGGATAGGATTATTGCTGTGCATGGGAAATGGTTTCTTTTACAGGCTCTTGGGTTGTGGTGTTTCATTTGTCTGATGTGACAGCATTAAGGGCCTGAATAACATGAAAGGGAAGGTGTGTGAGTCATAGGTGATTACTGGGTCCTAGCAAAAAAGAATTATATCACCATTGCAATAAATGTCAGGAGTAAAATTCATCTTCACTGGCCCACTTACACTAATCAACACGTACATGTGCTCCTCTGCTAATCATGAGTCATTTTCTTCTCTTTCTGCTCCATCTTTTCTTGTGTTTTTATATCCTTTTTAATTTTAGATGCTGGTAAGTACTTCATCCATCATTAGGGTAGCGCAGTCGATAACTCTATGGTGTGGCATTTTTCCCCTCTAGTGCAGTAAAATAAGTGGAAACTTGAGCAATGCCTTTGGCAGAGACAATATATAAAAGCTAACCATTAGGCATCTGCATATTTTAAAAGTATGGGGTTATTTAAAAATACTTCTAAGGTAATAAAACTCCTTGCCACATAGTGCAAGGCACTGGAGCAGAGATTGGGATGTGAGGCACAGATATGGGAGTGTTTTCTTGCTGGAAAAAAACAAAGCTTCAGGATTTTTAGTGATTGGATCTGAAAATCAGTAAGTAGAGCTGCTTAATAATGATTAATAAGTTAATAATCTTAAAATAATTAAGATAATAGGCTCTCCTCAAAGGACAGTTACCCAGCGCACCCATAGCCCATTCCCAGGCAGAGTTTCTTTACAAACCGGTAGGAAGTTTGTTGTGCCTTTACGTAGCCTCTGCTTTATTCACTGGGAGAGACTCTGTGTCTGAGCAGCGAAGGGCAAAGAGCTGAAGCTTTCTTAATGCAGACTGATTTGTTTGGTTTTCCTTTTTAAATGCGGATTTGCCAGAGTAGGTGCTGTGCATTTTTTTTCTGCTCGCTGTGCATTTTCTAGCGCAGTTGTTCAGGTTCAGTCAGAGCTAAGCACTTTCGCAATAATGAAGTGGTGGTGGTTGTTGTTAGAAGGGTTTAGATTTTGTGAGTTTTGCCTAGAGAGGCAGTAACTCGTGAACCTGGCACAGGCACAAATTCAGGCTCCCTTCCCACTGAGAGCCCTCCTCAGCCCAGCGGTAGCCCAGTTACCTGCTGGTGACTGGTGGTTCTCCTCCTTCCCTTTCATCTATCCCCAAAAATGCATTTGAAAGCAGTTTGGCTTTCAAGAAGGATAAATTTCCATATCTGCTTCACTATGTTGACATCCCTCACACTGTGATGCTTGAAATATGGCTGAGTGGTGGTGGATTTAAGGGATGGTTGTTAAGAGATGGGGCAAGTCCATGGTCAGACGCTGGTGTAGGGTGCACAGTGGTGGGTCCCAGGCCAGGAGAAGCTGTGAGGCGACAGCTTACACAGCAGAGCAATAGTGACAGGACTTGGGTTTGTCCTTAATTCAAGAAGAGTTTCCAGAGCTGCTCTTTTGGGAGGACTCTGAAGAGGCAGATCCATGTCTGCTCCAGGTCACTGGCTGCTGGATTTTGATACAGAAATATTTCTGCTGAGGCTTCCAGGTAGTAACGGTACTGAGGACTTGAGAGACGATCAAATTAGAAAATAAATTGTAAATCTTTAGCAGGTTCCCTTTGCATTATGGAAAAATTTCTGAATTCTTCCTGTTTTATGGCGATAAAACTTGCAGGGCAACTGATACCCTCTGGTTTTGTTGCGCAGAGCTAAGACGATTAAGAACACGGTTTCTGTGAACCTGGAGCTGACCGCGGAGGAGTGGAAGAAAAAGTACGAGAAGGAGAAAGACAAAAACAAGAGCCTAAAGAATGTTATCCAGCATCTGGAGCTGGAGCTGAACAGGTGGAGAAATGGTACGTACCGGGAAATGGCAATGGCTACGTACATTTTTTTAAAGTTACATATGTTTAAATCTTGCCTGAAAACACAAGAGTCGTACTAATTCGAAGAGTTGTAGCTCACGCTTCATATTAACAAGAATAAATGAAAGGTGAAGGAGCAAAACCCAGGGAAACCAGCAGCAGCCGTGCACAGAAGGTACCATTTTAAATGGCAAAACTAGCATGATGTCAGATGTAGGGAAGACAGGAAGGCATCAGTATTTTCGCAGACATTTTCACAGAATGTTAGGAGCTGGAAGGGACCTCAAAAATTATATTTTAAATAATGTTGGTAATATTAATAAAGAAAAGGCAAATTATCAGTATGGTTTGGGTTTTTTTTTTAAAGAACTCTGCTCCTCAGGCATGAGAATCAATTCTGTTATCCTTTAAGGTAGCAGATCTTGGGATTTTTCTTAATAATTGAGTTTAGCATTATAATAATTAGTCCTTTCCTACAATGGTGAGGAAAATCATCTCATTAGATGAAACACTGCTGGTCTCCTGTGGCTTCTCAGTGAAATTTACGTTGAGAACAGCCCATTTTCTGTTTAGAAACTCAGAGAATTGCTGTTCAGGGCAGGTTGTAAGCTCAAGTGTAGGGTGGTACAGGAGGGAGAATATTTTAATGCATACATACAAATAAAAGAATTGTTATTTAATGTGGAATGGTGACAAATAATTTTAGCCAACCATCTTTAATTTTAATTTTTGATGTAACTCTTGCAAATGTGAAGTATCTAAAGCGAGAACGAATCCGTGTTTAATGATTAGTCACAATTTGTTTTGCTCAGTCAAGTCTGGTTTTGAACATCCTGGGTGCAATCACTCCTTAAAAAGACAACACCTGACCTTTCTGGAGGCAAGAAATCGCTTCCTCCTTTCAACTCCCCGTGCTGTTTCCATGCTTTTTGGCTGAGATCATTACCTAACGATCGCTCTCCGTGGCTTTCTCCAGAGGCTTCAGCGCAGGGAATATTTCCCTTATCAGCACAGCGCGATTGCTATGGAGACGGTGGGGCTGCCGGTGGTGTCGGGGAGTGCTGGGGATTTACAACCTGCTCCTGTTCTGCGTCTTTCATTCTGTGTTTGCTAAAAGCAACTACTTTAATTTCCTTCCCGTTCTAGAAACGGGCTATTTTAGAAAACCCTGTATAGACCCTTTCTATATGCCATGTAAACAAGCCTTATAACATGCTGTCTTTATTGTCTTGTCTAAATATCCACACCTCAACCCCTCCATCTGTCCTGCTTTTCCCATTGGTATTACCCAGCAATACATTCAATGTATTCAGAAGACTATTGATTTCTTGTCTGGCCTTCTGCAACAGCATCATTTGAAGGGGTATTCTTTCAAAGGAGGCTCTTTACAAATGGAAATGGCACAGAAATTGCATCTTGAATCTAAAATGCAAGATGGATGCATAAATACTCACTCCGTGTAGCTTGTTCTGTAAATTTAGAAAATAACATCTGAAATAAAAGTGTAGCAGAAAATGGGTGTGCCCAGTTCTCACTGAAGCAGGATTTCAGCTTTCTTGTATCCCAGTGCACCTTTTTGTCTGGTTTACCTAAGCATCTCACATCAGATTTAGGCTCCCCTCCTCCTTCCACCTGCCATACAAAGCTTCTGATTCTTATAAGAAGGATGTTGAGATTCTGGAGCGTGTTCAGAGAAGAGCCACAAGGATGGGGAGGGCTCTGGAGAACAAGCCTGATGAGGAGCGGCTGAGGGAACTGGGCTTGTTTAGCCTGGAGAAGAGAAGGCTGAGAGGAGACCTCAGCACCACCTCCAACTGCCTCAAGGGAGGTTGTGGAGAGGTGGGTGCTGGTCTCTTCTCCCAGGTGATGGGGGATAGAACAAGGGGAAACGGCACCAAGCTGTGCCAAGGGAGGTTCAGGTTAGAGATAAGGAGGAAGTTCTTTACTGAGAGGGTCGTCAGGAGCTGACACAGGCTGCCCAGGGAGGTGGTGGAGTCACCATCCCTGGATGTGTTTAAGGAGCGGGTAGATGAGGTACTTAAGGATATGGTTTAGGGGGTAGACAGGAACGGTTGGACGTGATGATCTCAGAGGGCTTTTCCAACCAAGCGATTCTGTGATTCTGTGAAACACCTCAATGAAATGAAAATGTAAAGATTCACTTTGGGAGGCTCCTGAGCCCACCTGTTCTGGTCTGCTCCAGTGAAAAATCAATTTACATTTTTCTCGGTAACAATATAAAATATTATCAAGGTCTCAGAAGCAGGGCAAAAAGTATTTTCAGTGAAGTACTTTTATAAAGGTTATAGTGCTTGATTTCAAGTTACTCTCTTTCTTGCTTTAAGCCTGAAAAGATCTCTTCTCTGTTACTTGTTCGTGCTCCTTTGTGCCCTGTTTTGTTTTGCTTTGAGGCCTGAATTAGCCTGCCTTGTAATTTTTTGAGATATTTGTCCTATTTGCTTGTTTCCCTGCCAGTAAGACAAATAGTGCCTATGCTGTTTTGGCAAGAAGAATGGCTTGTAAAGCTTCATGGGACTAAAATATTGTAGGTTTTCATAGAAAAGGAAAAAAACCTGTTTGTGTGGAAGAGTCTCACCAGACTCTAATGAGAGTAAATTCAATTTCTGGCATGAGCGCCTTGCCTGTCCCACTTCACTGAACTGCAGCAGGCTCCTAACTGCAATACCACGATGTTACCGGAGAAAATATTCCTTGGAGAAAATGATTTTGAAAGAAAATACATGGGGAGAACATCCTGTCTGGTATGAATGGGCAACATCTGAAAATTGGTGTATGCGCTTTAATTTTACATGTGACAAGGCAGGAGGTGAATATCGTTTTAAATGCAGCTGTCTTGGCTGTCCTGATGCTCTGCAGTTCATTATGGGGGAGAGTTGATAAGGCAGTTGGAAACCTGGGGAGGAAGAGGCGTTTAATTGCCAGTAGGCTTTAGGCTGAAAGTCGGATTTTTTTTCCTCCTTATTTACACTTGTGTTAATCTCTGGAGCTAATCCCATGCATAGAGGGCTTGGGTGAAAGAAGAGCCAGGAGTTCAGGGCTTTTAATGGCATAGTTTCCAACTGCTGCTGTATTTTGCACCTTTGTGTTTCTATCCATGGAGGTCACCTTTCTAACGAGGATGCCCGTCTTTCCACACCTCCTTTTGCCTTTCATTTGTACACAAGGCGGTTGCCTGCCTTGCCCAGCTGGATGTGGCCCTTCTTTGCTTTGCTGAGCCACCCTAGGATGTCCATGGTTTGGGACAACCCTTTCTCTTGGATCACATTGACCGTGGGTTGTGTGCCCGCAGGAGAAGCTGTGCCTGAAGACGAGCAGATCAGCGCGAAGGACCAGAAGAACCTGGAGCCTTGTGATAACACCCCCATCATTGACAACATCACGCCAGTTGTTGCCAGCATCTCGACAGAGGAGAAACAGAAATACGATGAGGAGATCGCCAGTCTCTACAGGCAGCTGGATGATAAGGTGTGGACATTTGGTTTGCCTCCATTCTCTGGGTGGAAATGGAAAACTAAGCCAAAATGCACGGGTGTCTCTGTAATTCTTGAGCACCATGACCTGGAAAATGTTTCAAAATTCAAAGCGTTCATTGCATAACACCAGATCTTGTCCCATCACGTCAGCTATCTGCTTCTGTTCCCTCTGCAGACAGTGTCTGGGGGCATTCTCCAGGAAATCGGAGCCAAATTTCATTTCCAGAGCTTTTCAGGCTTTTCAGCACTCCTTTTCTTCAGTGATTTTTGTAAATACTGTACTCCCTCAGCGAACTGTAATGTCATCTTGGAGTTACAGGAGAGAAACAAAAGAGGAGACTGTATCTTAATATTTTTTATATATTTATTATATATTAGAATTTTAAGGAAACTATATAACCATCCCTTGGGTCTCCTTTGTTCTCGCTGGGAACACTGCCTGAAGTGCAGGTGGCTTTTTTTTCTCCTCCTAATTTATTTGCACAGCTTGAAATACATCATTGGCACTTAAAGCTATCAGCAATACATTTACCGAGCACTTGCCATGAATAACTTGGCTTGTGCAAAGATAAGAAGTGGGGGAAAAAAAAGGCATACTAAATCCATGGACCATTATGGATGAGAACGGCTTAAAAGGCTGTCTAGCCTTTAATCCTGAATCAAAACTTGATTTTAACTTTCGGTTGTAATTAGCAAGAAAATATCAGAAAAAGCCACTGTTTCCTCATATATTAACATTAATATTTGGTTGTGGGAGGGGAGCGGGGAGTTGTGTGAAAGCCTTGAGCCTGATGTACATGAGGTCTCTGCACAGCCTGGTTCCACACCAAACTGATGACATTCAAAATAACTGTTAAGCTCTTTAAGAAATTACAGCTTTTCTGTGATGGAGAATACATTCCCAGTAGCAGTTTCTAGTTTTTATGTATTGATTAGAAAAAGTGGCATTAGAAGTGGCAAAGCCCATTGAATTATTCTTGAGGGAGCCGATGGCAGGTTTGAGTTTTACCCTAGAAAACATGGGGAGCATAATTTGGTGCACTACTGCAGTACTATAGGAAATGAGAAAGTATTTTATCTCCAAACCAAACCCAAAATATCCCCATTTATAACTAGTTGCAGTGCAGACCATTCTTATATCTGGGCCTATTTTAATGTGAGTAAATGATTTGCTATATTGTACTTGATAGTGGTATTTTCTATGAGAAATCAACCTATTAGCATGCTTGTCAGTGAAATACAAACTGTCAGTTGGTTCTGATAGGGTAAAAGCAACCATTTTATCTTTGGGGAGCTCCTTTAGAGAAGAAGAGATGGACTCAGGTCCTGTGCTTGCTGTGCCTCCTGTGGCTTTATGGAGGAAGGACTCCTCCATCATTTCTCTTCTGTATTTAAGATGAGGATGCTGTCTTAACAAGGACCGAATGAGAACTGTGAAAAGAAACTAAAAATCTCCAACCTTATTTCATTGCAGGATGATGAAATCAACCAGCAGAGCCAGTTGGCTGAAAAGCTCAAGCAGCAGATGTTGGATCAAGAGGAGGTAAAAACACTAAACAAATAAAAAAATTCCTTACATTTTGCTTGTAAGACCCCTGTTTAGTGATTCTGACACAGTTGTTAGCCAGATATATCTATATTAACTGGTTAGAATTCAAGAGGCAAGAGAAACCTATGTGAGGAGCTAGGTTTGAACTTCAATTTCAAAATATCCTCAGAACAGCATTAAGCCTCTAACTCCCTATAACAGCACACCATGCTGCTGGGAACTGATGCTGGAGGTACCAAGGTAGGACTGTAGCCGGTATGTTTTATTTCAAATGTGTTTTTCAATATATCCGTGTCCTTTCAGGTATCCAGACACTATGGCCTGTAGGTGGTTAACAGATTTCCTAGTTTTCCTGGTAATAAATTACTGATGTCCGTTCTTTTGGCAATTAGAGAAACTTCTGAGGCTGAAAAATTGATTATTGGTGCTGCCACAGATTTGCTGTCACATCTTGGATTACTCATTCTAAACATTTCATTTCACTTCATTGTTTCTGCCCATAAAATGAATGTTTGTTGGTTTTAAGATGGGGAATATGATCACGAACCTTACAGTCAAGTCATTTCCTTATCTACTATTTGTTAATGAAAGGTTTTAAAGCTGTGAAGTCTGGCAAGAACACCAAATTACCAGGTTCCCCACGCCTCTCCCAGCTGGCCCAGCCTCTTTGGTTGGTGCACAGCATGATGCTGGCTGCTTTTTTGGGTGTGAAGCCCCTCTTGTAATTCAGAAATTATTCTATCCATCTCTTAATCCTTAATCAAGCCCCTTCAGAAATGGTTTCTAAGGTTTGGCTCCTTAGCAGGGAGAGAACGATGCATGAAAATGCCTGTTACTCATGACTTCCCTGCCACCTTTTTTGGGGTCTTATCCTCACTGCAGGAATTACACCTGTATTTTACTCCATGATTAAGCTCTTCATTCACCTGCCACAACTTCCTTTGGATTACTCTGCTACCAATGCCTGTGGCTGTACAAATGTAACAGAATTCGATGCGTTCTCAGCATTGTTATTTTCTGATGCGTGTTATTTATAACATCTCACTTCTCCCATCTTTTTTACATCAGCATTCTCATTTACAGCTTATTTTTCCCTCCTGGTTTTTCTTGTGTCTTGCTTTTTGGGTGGTGTGCATTCCTTTCTCTGTGTTAGGCATTTGGAAGCATGCAGTACGCTGGTTTATTCCCCACCCTCTGTGTTCCACACTCAATATTACACCTGGAAGCTGAATCCAGTTTTCAGTGGCCTCTAATCCTTGCCTTTCAGACCACATTTTCCCCTTTTTCACACAAATTCTAGCCTAGTTTGCTGATTTATTGAAGTCTCTGCAGCTGGCATTGCACCAGCATTCAGCTGGTTCATCCGAGCAGCTTGTCCATCTCTCACCTTTGAAAGCTAAAGCAATATTTCTGTTTTCTTGAAGGGAATTGAATTAATTTTGCCAAGGGTTTATCCTCCACACGTAAGCCTCACCCGTGGGGGTGATGTACCTGTTCTGCCGCAGAGCCTGTGCTTAGCTCCGTGATAGATGCGCTGCAGAGCAGCTGCCTCGCTCTGCTTCCCCCTAATTAACCAGAGTCCTTTTTTTCTGCTTGATTAAGCTAGCAGGTTAATTATAAATCTCGGGCCTGCCACAGATGGCGTTGTGCTGATCCTGGTATCTTTTTGTGCCTTTTCACCACTGGCTGTGTGGTTTTAGGGGGGGCATGCTGAATCTTCACCCTTGCATCTCACGATGCTGCAGCCATCGTCCCCTTTCCTTTCTTTACAGCTGATGGTATAATGTGTTATTAATTGCTTTTGAAAATCTTGGTGTATTTTTCCACTTTCTATCATCAGGAATTTTCTGGGGAGCTGTGTTTATGCTCTAGGTGATATATAACACTTCCCTTCACTTGAAGTCACAGTAATATTCACAGAGAAAATTTCTTAAGTAAATGTAAATAATAGTTCCATCTGTGTTTAGTGGAAAGATTATTTTAAGCTATTTTGTTGTTTAAATATTTACATGCCATCTGGCTTTGGCAATTCAGTGGGTTTTTCTGTAACGTGAGTGCACTTCTGAGGCTGCAGCTTTACCAGCGAGATAAATTTCCCTTACATCTGAATCCTCTCTTCGCCACTTTGGGCTGGTGCCAGTGTCTGAAGCTGCCTGCTTGGTTTTCTATTTTCCACTAGCGCTCTGAGCCAAAAAAGCGATGTCTTCTCTGACATCCTCCTTTTAGGTGCTCTGTTTTAGAGAGGTGAGTCTGTTTTGTGTGGGATTTCACACTCAGGTTCTTCCTGGCCTTGGGAGCTGATGGGCAGTGGTGGGGCAGGGCAGGAGAAGTCCACCCAGGGCAGGTTTTGTTCTGCTGTCCCAGAAAGCTGCAGTACAGTGATATTATATTAAACCATATGTATAAAAATAATTATACCTAATATATATAGATATATACACATATATCTATATTATCTATATCTATATCATCTATATCTATATCTTATCTCTATCTATATCAATATCACCTATATCTATATCACCTATATCTATCTATATATTACCTATATCTATATCAATATCACCTATATCTATATCACCTATATCTATCTATATATTACCTATATCTATATCTATATCATCTATATCTATCTATATCTATATCATCTATATCTATCTATATCTATATCTAGCTGAATGAATGTCCAGGCTTTGCTGTTAGGATGGGCATGACACCTCCTTGTATCTCATGCACTAGTTTTATGTATTAATACTCTACATTTTATGGTTTTATGCATTGCTAAGTCCTGATTTTTGTATTATTCAAAAAAGCACAATATTACCACTAAGTGCTAGGTGGCACTTTAGTTTTCACATCATTCTGCGCTATATAGCTGCTGTTGAGCCTGCTAAGAACCCAATATCTGAATTTTCACACCTTTAACATCTGAAAGATGATGGAGTGGTGCAAAGACAAGGGAGAGGACCATGCAGCTGACCTCTCACAATCAGCACCGTCACTGAAACTTCAGCATCTCTCTTACTAGCGTGCAAAGAGTAAATTTATTAAGCTTTACAATTTGGAAATACCCACCAGTATGTGTGAAATCTGTATCTTCTTCTTTAGTTAGTATTTTGCCTCAGCAAATATGAGCAGCTACTCTGTCTTCAGCATCATGCTTCAGATGATAACTAAGAATAATCATCATAGGTTTGCTTATCAAAATATTCCTCTAATGCCACAAGGCCTTTGAGGCTGCCTCAGAGAGCCCTTTCGCTAGGTTCAGTTCAAAGCCGTGAGTCTGCATTTAAACATTTTACTTTGTGGTATTTTTGGGGCCTAGCTGCAGCTTTGGATTGAGGGCAGAAAATGTATTTGGAGCGATGATGCTGTTTAAAATGAGTTTCTCTGCCTCAGTCTTGTGTCATAATAGGATTTGATTAGGATTTTTTTCTTTTTGCTGAAGTTGAGAGCCTTTTTTGCTTCCTTTAAATACATTTATGGTGAAACGGATGCTGTTTCTGGTAGAGTAGCAGGATTTGTGCTCTCCTGCTTTCTCTCTTGCGCAACACTTACATACTCACATTTTCTTTCTCTCTTTATCTGTTGTTGCCCTTTTCAGTGTTGTCTTTTGACTGAGTTCTTGGGCGATTTAACACTTCTGTGATATCTACTTTCCAGCTTTTGGCCTCCACCAGGAGAGATTATGAGAAGATTCAAGAGGAGCTGACCCGTCTTCAGATCGAGAACGAAGCTGCGAAGGACGAAGTGAAAGAAGTCCTTCAAGCCCTGGAAGAATTAGCGGTCAATTACGACCAGAAATCCCAAGAAGTGGAGGACAAAACAAGGGCCAACGAGCAGCTGGCTGACGAGCTGGCACAGAAAAGTGTAAGAGCAAGCGGTTCACGGTCCTGCTTCCCTCCTTGCCCCTAATTCTGCACCACCCAAAAAGATTTCTATAGGGATTCACAGTTAGCTGCTATCCTGTGCCATTTCAGGAATCTGTCAGATACTGCTGCCAAGCATAGTTTAAAAATTGGAGTAGCAGGGAAGCTGTTAAAAGATCCATACCCTCTCTCCTGTCTTAATTAAATGATAAAATTCAGATAATTCAGAAACTGCTCTATGGAAGCCGATGGCAGATTGTGGCTCTGTCGCAGCCTCTCTGTTTTGCACACCACAGCGGCAACCAAACTGAACGTGAGAACTGGCCATCCTGTGTTTTGGTTATTTAAAACCTGTATTATGCCAAGAAAGATGGGAAAATCTGCTGTGTGCAAATCGCAGCATTTTGTGCTTCTCTGGACTCTGCAGAGCAGGGATTTTACAGAGAGTCAGGGGATCTCAAGGAAGGAATTGGCAAAAAGCAGCTTTTTCAGCTGATGTGCACAGATCTTAAGGAAAAAAATCTGATCTGAGAAAAACCAAGATTGGTTTAGTAGCTTCATGCATCTTTGTTCCTTACAGAAACCGAGGAAGATGTTAACAGGTCTGTTTTCATGTAAGACTTCTTTATCTGCTTCAGTAAAACAGATTACTATGAAATCCATTTGGAAAAAGAATTGAATTTTATATCCCTCTATACCTGTTTCTCTGTGATTAACCTTCTTTGACATGTATTATACCCATAAGATTCTTAGCGGATTTGCTACATTTAATAGATCTAAAGTAGCCTTGTTAGCAAGGGACTTGTGCAAGTGGATTATGGCAAGGTGAAAATGCCCGTGTCAGTAGAGGTGTCCAGGAAAATACAAGACAATACAGCAAAACCTAGGTATCACAGAAGAACTGATGCAAAATCAGCAGAGGGGAGGTTAATTTTGGTTTTTAACCTTTTCAGAGCGCCCTGACAGCGACGCAGAGGGAGCTGGGCCAGTTGCAGGAGCTCAGTAACCATCAGAAGAAGAGAGCCACAGAAATCTTGAATTTGCTGCTGAAGGACCTGGGAGAGATTGGAGGCATCATTGGCACTAACGATGTTAAAACAGTGAGTCGGCTCTCTTCATTGCTTCACCTCCCATAATATCAAAATCCTTGATGTGGAATATGTGTGATACAGCCATCCTCTTTTTTTGTTTCAAGTTTGTGCTTAAACTGTTGTGTAGCTGAGGGTGAGCAGTTCTCAAAGCCAGAGCTCTGCACTGGTGGCTGCCCAGGGCACCCAAAGGATATATTTTCTGCGTTCTGGTGGTTATTACCCTTCAACAGGGGCTGGATTCATCAAAGCCCACGCTTTCATGTGTGTTTCTGAACACAAAATACATTAAAAGTACCAATTGGTAAATTTAGGCTAGATATCAGATAAATAATTTCACGACAGTAAGACCAGCTTAATTTTTGTATATTGGCTAATGACCTTTATAGAGGAAAAGCTGCAGAGCATCATTTTCCTCTGAAGTAAAGAGGTAAGAACGGGAGTGAAGGTGGTTGAAGCAGCAGAAACCTTGGAAACTGGAGGTGCAGCAAATTTTGGCCGGTTTTGCTTTGAAATTTGTCTTGTGTCTGGCTCTTGGGTTTACAGACACACAGAGGAGGCATAGACTCGTTTTGTCACTGCCTCAGAGAAGATATTTGTGTACAGTCATTGCTCAATGGCAGATCTCTGATGGAAGCCTGGAAAATCTTCCTGGTGATGTTTATATCACCTTATCTGTCCATTTAAAACGTCCAACTGAGCATGTGGTTATGCAGATGTCAGGACCACCAGATCTCTGATGGAAGCCTGGAAAATCTTCCTGGTGATGTTTATATCACCTTATCTGTCCATTTAAAACCACGGCCAACAGAGCATGTGGTTATGCAGATGCCAGGACCACAAGACCAGGCTTTGCGAGATGTTACAGCAACCTCTGGTGGCCGTTGTAATAGGAACTACAGGAGGAAACCTCTGAAAATGGAGGTGGAGGCAGTTTGAGTCAAATTTTTATAGTAACTGAGATGTCAGCATTTTACAGGACAGCTGTCAGCGTAAATAAGGCCAGATTGAGAAGCTTTTAGAAAAATAATTTCAAGTTTGTTGGCAATTAGCAGCTTCTGAAAGTGTGTCTAATTTCAGAGCAGACTGAGGGTCTTGGAAGCAGTTGTGGGTTTTAGGCTGTTGGGAGAAGGAACAGCGTGTGTTACCTTCCCTTTGGTGGTGCTGGGGAAAAGGCAAAAAGCGGATGAAGTTGCTAGCCATAACCTTGCTCAAAAAGGACCATCACAGCTCATAGGTGGGTTACATGAACTAAGTAGTTGAAGAAAAATCATGAAGAGCAAGACGTACAAAAAAAAAGCCACCGCGTTAAACCAGGGAAGGAAATTCTGTATGAATAGAATGATACTCATATTTAGAGGTGAGAGCAATTACTTTTCTCTTACCAGGTGAGATTTCCAGACCCATGTCTGTCTTACAGAAGCAGAACCCTTCAAGAGGAGACTTCTTTAAAGAGTAATTTGAAAAAGCTCTTCAGCTTTTAGCAGCTTGAAAGAAGGGAAATTGCCTGTGCTCATGATATGAGAAGGTTTCTCCAAAATATGCTCTTGCTATGATGGGGTGCTTGATTACTTTAGATGCTGAACCACTATGTTGATGAAACAGGCCTTCATTTCTCACATTTGAGGCTCCTCAGTGAGGATTGTACGAAGCAGAGTGGTATAACAGGTTTCCAGGTGACCTGAAGGTCTGTGGGTACTTCTTGAAGGCCTCCTGGCTCCAGACAGGAGTTTCACAGCAGGGCAACTGCTCTGCAGTGACTGACCTGTGAGAACCACACCTTGAAGCTTGCGATCGTGTGTGTTTAGTTAGCAGACGTGAACGGGGTGATTGAGGAGGAGTTCACCATGGCGCGGCTCTACATCAGCAAGATGAAGTCTGAGGTGAAGTCCCTGGTGAACCGCAGCAAGCAGCTGGAGAGCGCCCAGATTGACTCCAACAGGAAGATGAACGCCAGCGAGAGGGAGCTCGCAGCTTGCCAGCTCCTCATCTCGCAGGTAGGTTTGCTCCTGCCTTGTCCCTCTGCAGCAAGGGTTGATGATTTTCTCAGCCTCCTTGAGAAATGTGTGTGCTAGGAGCGAGAAATGAGACTTCAGGAAGCAGAGTGGTGTTTCTCTTGTCTGTTTTGTTCTTTTTTTTTCTCTCTTCTCCCATTCCTCCCCCTCAGTGTTTTTCAGCACATTCTGTGGCGAGATCGTGTCCTGCTGTAGATCCCAAAATGTGTTTTATGGTATAATACTGCAAATCCTTGGCATGATTTCCTCAGCGTGGATTTGTATCGTGTCCCTTCACGTTAAAAGCAACCTGAGAAAGGAAGCAGTGATCGTATGGTTCGCTAGCAAAACCTTTGGAGAGCCCTCCATATCTGGTCTGTTAGTAAAGACAGCTAAGCAGCAATATATAAAATAATAGGTTATGGAAAACATTACTATATAAGATAGAAATCCAGATGGTAGGAGGGCTTCTTAGCGGGTGGCAGTTAGAAGGGACCTGACTGCTTTGACATGCTCGACTGCTGTGAAGTGGACACGCAAAGGGGAGGAGATGCTACAATTTACTGTATTGCACTTGCTACCAGTTAGTCTAAGAAAACCTGAAGCAGCGACAGCCTCTTGTCCTGCAGCAGAATGGCTTTATTAAGTTCTACTTAATTAGGCTATTAAGTCTTGGGCTATTAAGTGTGACCTTTAAAAATGCAGTCTGTTTTGGTCCATTACCTCCTTCTCAGATCTTTTGCTGTGTGCTGTGTTTTCTCCTAGTCCTCAGCTCTGGATGTGGAGAGCTTTCTGGTTTTCCTCCTTTGTGTAGGGCAGTACTTGGATTCTTAGGTAAGAAGCTGTGGTACTCACATTTCATTGCAATTTCCCTTGTCTTTAAAGCATGAAGCGAAGATCAAGTCCCTGACTGACTACATGCAAAACATGGAGCAGAAGAGAAGGCAGCTGGAAGAGTCACAGGACTCTCTCAATGAAGAACTCGCCAAGTTACGTGCTCAAGGTACAACGTTAAGTCTTGTGGTCATCATTTCTTCTATCAGTTATATCTTAGAAAATTCAGTATTGGCTGAAGTACCATATGTACAATAGTACTATGATGTTTTATTGTCTGCTTCGTATTTTGCAGTGAAGACATAAAATTGTGATTCAGAATATTTAACACATTGCACGTCCTCGTAGTACACTACACTGCAGATAAAACCAGAGTGTTCCCTTTCAGCCTACTCCATCCACAAAATACAGAGAAACTTAAGTTTTCAGAAGCATCAAAAACTTTATGACGAGCTTCGCCTTGTGCTTTAATGATGTGAGAAATGAAAAACTCCACAGATATTTTACCCAAACAGCACAAGTTAATCTTGCTAAATCTCTATTCTGTAGAAGCTCCTGGTTTTTGTATAATTACAAGACCTAGTAGCCTCAACGTTACTCTGGATTTCTGCACAAGGGATCTTCTCTGACTTTGGGAGCAGCAGGTGGTGACAAGATCTTTTTAACATCCCTTGTGTTTTTAGAATACAGTTTTTATTTCATCTCCTGATCTTCCTACCCCACTCATACAAAATGGCCTGGTTCTGGAGGTCACCATTTCCCCAGCAGAAATGAGACAAGGAGGGTTGTGATACGGAGGGATATAAGGAGACAAGAAGAGGATGAAAAGGTGCTGGGTAGGCTGAAAACGATGTGTTAGTAAAGGAAAAGGAGGTTTGGGCAGTGTGGTCACGGGTTGGCCACTGCAAACCATGGCTATTTCTGCCCTCCAAAGCTGTCTCCCCTGATCCTGCTGCCCCCTGCAAAAAGAACTAGTTTGTTTAGGTTTTTTGGGTTTTTTTAAATGGCTGGCTCTAGCAAATCCTGGAACTGTATGATTGATTCTCAACTGTCTCCATCTTTAAACAGAAAAAATGCACGAGGTCAGCTTTAAGGATAAGGAGAAGGAGCATCTGACCCGGCTGCAGGACGCAGAGGAGATGAAGGTACTATGGCAGGCAGCAGTTTTAGAGCACATTTCTCAGTGAGATCGTTCATTAACCAATAATTAGGGTGTAATTTTGTCTTCCTGTACACGCTGTGTGCACTCCACACTTTCAGCCTCTGTCAGAATTGCCAGCCTCTGTTAGAAAACCTGACCTCCTGTCACCAAGTGACTTTTGCAATTTGAAATTAGACAATTTGCTACTATTGAGGTTGTTGACCAGATTATGGGAAAAAAAATAAGTTACAGCCTGAATATCTGAGGCGAGTGCATCTTCAAAGATGAAGCAAACTCTGTCTGCTGAATCAGATGTGCTGGGTTCCTCAAATCACACAAATGGAGAACTGAAAGATAAGAGCCAGGACACTGCGTCCATAGCTGAGAACAGTTTTGTTAAGTACGATTGAAAAATGATAGTGCTTCACCTCTGTGTTACTCTGAATTTTTGGTCAGTGGAACTCTGCTGAAAGTCAATTTGCTAAGTAGTGAATCAGCCTACTGGGGTTAATAGAATTTAGGCACTAAAATTTGATAAAAAAAGAGGCTGGGCCACTTTCCCAAATTGTTTGGCAAGAATTCTGACTATCTCCTAGAAATAATAATGAAATATCAACCTGTTTTATAGGTTGGGGTGTGGTTAGTAGGTTGAGAGAGGTTCTCCTGCCCCTCTGCTCTGCCCTGCTCACACCACAGCTGCAATCTTGTGGCCAGTGCTGGGCCCTCAGCTCCAGAAGGACAGGAACTGCTTGAAAGAGTCCAGCAGGGCCACCAAGATGAGATGCTGGAGGGAGTGGAGCATCTCCTGCTGAGGAGCGGCTGAGGGAGCTGGGGCTCTTGAGCTTGGAGCAGAGGAGACTGAGGGGTGCCCTCATTCCTGGGGATCCATTGGGAAAGGGCAGTGTCAGGAGGAAGGAGCCAGGCTCTGCTCTGGGATGGCCAATGCCAGGCCAAGGGGCAATGGTCCCAAGCTGGAGCACAGGAGGTTCAAGCTGAAGATGAGGCCAAACTTTGTGAGTATGAGGGTTATGAAGCATGGCCCAGGCTGCCCAGAGAGGTTGTGGAGTCTCCTTGTGTGGAGACACCCAAAGCCCTGGCCGTGTTCCTGTGTGACTGCTCTGGTGCTCCTGCTCTGGCAGGGGTTGCACTGGGGGAGCTTTCCAGGTCCCTTCCAACTCCTCACATTCTGGGATTCTGTGATTGTTTTCTGGTGTTCTCTTCTTCTAGAGAGCAAAGAAGAAATGTTATGCAGTAATGTGTGAGCTGTGTTTCTGATGGGGTTACAAATTGCATAAAAGGAAATATATAATTTTACAGGGATATTGATAGAGCTTTGTCAGCTTCAGAACTTTTACCTCCAAAAGTTTAAGTTATTAAAGAGTTGTACAGTTATTGCTTACAGCTATTTTATTACAAATGTAAGAAGATGCATTGTGTTTTTCTGACTTCTTGAGATATAACTAATCCTAGAATTTAAATAACAGAGCTGTGGGTAAACAGTTCTCAGAGGGGGAGGGTGCTTCAGGTTTTACTTCTGTCATGGTCATAGCTGTAGATGTATTTTCTTGTGTGTTACTTGACCCGTTTCATGCGTGGCTCTGGTTTTTGCACCCTGCAGAAGGCTCTGGAGCAGCAGATGGAGAGTCACAGGGAAGCCCACCAGAAGCAGCTGTCCAGGCTGAGGGATGAAATTGAAGAGAAGCAGAAAATAATTGATGAAATCAGAGAGTACGTTCACTCATATCTGTTCTGTCCTGTTCAGTGACACTGTAGGGATGGCTCGGGGTTGGTTTTATTAGTTTTAAATCATATCTATATATTTGAGTCTTATGGAATTAATTATTCCGTGGATACTTTGCACTGTGGATTACAGTGCCTAGTTCTTTATTGTGGAGCTTTACAAGTCCATGAAATTACAAAGAGGAAAAAGAAAGATAAAGACTTTCTGAGAGCCAGGGGGGCTCAAACATGTCCTGTTTTCACACCCTTAATATTTCTTCCTGCCACAGCAATGTAACTTTGTTAAGGCAGATACTCCAGCACTTGAAAATTGGAGTTCTTTGCTCCCTGTGTTCTTCATTTTGTCAGTGCTCATAAAATCTAGGCAATCCTGATGTAGTGCTTGTTCTTTCATCATATTTATAGTGTGGCCAAAGACTAACAGCAGGGAAATGAGAAACATGAGGAATCAGGGCAGAAAGACTGCAGGAACTGTTTGTGTCCTTTAAGATAAAGGAAGCAAGCCACTGTACTTAACTCTCCAATATTTTTACTTAAAAACTATCGTTCTTCAGATTTTTTTATGCTTAATTTCTTTCAGATCTTTTCAGTAGAGAGTTACAGCTTGACTTTCTCTGTCTAACATGGTTTTATTTATGGGGGTTTGTGCACCCTTGTTTATGGGGTTCAGGACTGAGCTGTATGACCTTTTCTTTCACCTTCTAGTATGAATCAGAAGCTGCAACTGGAACAGGAGAAACTGAGCGCTGATTATGATAAGTTAAAAATTGAGGACCAGGAAAGAGAAATGAAACTGGAAAAGCTCATGTAAGTCAACAGTTTTCTCATCTGGTGTCCTTGGATATAGAGTCTCTTAGTGTGTCCACAGGAAATGTCCTGGTGAGAAGCACTGGAGCATTTGTGTTGAGATTATTACCAAACACTCCATGTTTTTACATCATAGGTTTATGTCATATCATATCTGCCAAAGAAGATTTTTTTAGAGCTCTGATTTGATGAAATGTCACAGCATGTGTTCAATTCCTCACTCTTCAATGCGCAGCAAAAACAAATGAGAAAGGAGCTGGGGGGTTGAGGTGGATTTTGGGGGCTTTTTTTTGTTGGTTTTTAAGCAGTAAATCAGATGTCTGAGTAAAAGCCTTTCCCAGAAGTGAGAGAGAAAAATTTCATGTGTGGACACAAAAAAATGTTGGTGGTGGCTGAGCCATTCCATGTGAGAAAGCTGCAAATTTGGGACAGTCGAAAGCATCATTACAGATGCAGAGATGTGCAATTCACTCACATCTGCAGATGTTCTGCTCAGACTGAGTGCTGATTGATTCTCTTACATGACTTCAACATTTCTGATTTGTGTTTAACGTTGTGATCTTTCTAGACTGCTTAATGATAAAAGAGAACAAGCAAGAGAAGATCTTAAGGGGCTGGAGGAAACAGTGGTACGTCTTCATTATGCTTTATTGAGCTTTTCTCCCCTAGGTCTTCATCGCTGATGTGTTATCAAACATCTGTATCTGTGCCTAAGGAAATGACCAATTTCTATTTATTGGAAGCTACATTTGTCTCTGTGTGTAAAATACACAAGTTTTCTGGAAGATCTCAGAAGCTGGTCAAAACCACAGCTGCTTTAGGAGCATCATATGGTGATTTTTGCAAGTGTCAACATGGTTATTAACTCAAAAGCAGCATTTACTCCTCTGTGTGATGCTTTAAAAATTAAGCTTATAGTGGCCTCAGGATCCATTAGAGTTCAGTCCTGAAGCTGAATTATTCAGGGCCTTTCAGCTTTGGCTCCTGATGGCTCCCCAGACATAAACCTTGTTAAAACAAACTCCTGTGCGGGAGAGATGCCTCATATCAACCTTTTTAATAGGAACTGTGCTGATCAGAGACTTGTAGAGCTTGCATGAAGACTTGATGTGCCCTGTACACCGAATTAATAAGGCAGCCAGAAATCAGAGTTAGGCCGTATGATACCATCAGCTTGCAGAAACCCAGAGGGTATTTTTAAAATTTTCCAAATAAACATCTTTGAACTATCTTATATTTAAATTCTATTCACTTTGATAGAGTTTTAACCATTATTGCAGCTAGAATTAAAAATCAGGCACAGCGAATTACAGGAAAACGTGTGCCCTCAAAGGCCAAATTGTGGTGCACCCCTGCCCCTTGGTGTGGGCTGACATCAGGCTCATTGGGTGATTGCTTTGAGAAGGAAGGGATGAAGAACGGTCCTGGTGGGACTACAGCTCTGTTTTGACTTGTTCTCCTTCCCAGTGTCAGGTCCACGGGACAGGGTTATGGGGTGAAGGTCCCCAAGTGCCACTCTCAAGCTGTGCTTGTAAGGTACGGTTTTCAGCAGCCCACGAGGGAAGCTTCTCCTTTTTGGTTTCTACTCAGTTTTGCCTTTTTCTTTTGAGAGATAAAGATAAAAAAATCAAGTTCAAAAGCTTCTTGAGCAATTCATTTAAATTCCAGTGTGTGATAAGCAGGAAATGGCAAAGCTAAGGTTGCTCTTACCAAGAAAGTCAGTGCTCTTCAGTGTGGCTGTGGTGCAGGATGGGGTTGGGGTGAGCTCTTTTTCCACATCATTTCCTTTCCTGCAAATGGATCGGTGCTTAGATAGAACAAGGGGAAACGGCACCAAGCTGTGCCAAGGGAGGTTCAGGTTAGAGATAAGGAGGAAGTTCTTTACTGAGAGGGTCGTCAGAAGCTGGAACAGGCTGCCCAGGGAGGTGGTGGAGTCACCATCCCTGGATGTGTTTAAAGAGCGGGTAGACGAGGTACTTAAGGATATGGTTTAGGGGTAGACAGGAGCGGTTGGACGTGATGATCTCAGAGGGCTTTTCCAACCGAGCCATTCTGTGTGTGTGATTCTGTGTGTGTGTGCTTCCGTCCTTCTGGGAGCAGGTGCCAGGGTCACCACCTTGTGTCACATCTCCAGTCTGGAGTAAGGGTTTTTTTTTCATTGAGCCTGAGAAGTTGATACACATAACCAAAAAAAAAAAAATAGGTGGGAATACCTGGATATTTGCCCAAACTTAAAAAGCACTTAAACATCTCAAGTACCCGTGAGTAAGTATTCAGGGTGGGCCACTGTGTTTGCTACAGAGCGAATGCAGAGCTCTTGCACGTCGCTAGATGTGTGCACCTTTGTTATCGACTCACATCCAAGAAGGATTTTTACACCAGGGTATGTGCTATCTCTTACTGGTTTCTGCTTTTTTTTTTAAATTAATTAAATTTATTTAATTATTCCAGGCAAGAGAACTTCAGACTCTTCACAATCTGCGCAAGCTTTTTGTCCAAGATCTTACCACCCGTGTTAAAAAAGTAAGACCATGCTCTTTTCAACCAAAGTCTTCTCATTTTTGCTGTGTTCTTGTGATTTGCTGGAAGTCTTTAGAGCATGCTTTTACAAAATGGGTTATTGTCTTTTTCAGTAACAGTGAGTAATAAGATTAAAGCGCTTCTGATATTTATTACCTTTTATTTAGTCCTAATTTGTCAAGGAAAACTCTTGCTGATACCAGAAACTATTCAATATAACTTGCGTTATCTTAGGCTATACTAAATGCTGTGGCTTTTTCTTTCTATGGGCTTGTGACTAGTCAGCCTTTTCCTGGCCAAATAATTGCTTAGCAGAAATTAATGCATTTTTAAATGTTGAAGAAGAATCAGAGCTGCATAAATAGTCCAAGGCTTCTCTTTGCAGTCCTTCAGAGTAGTTTTGGGGAAGAGGTTTGAAGTTTGTGGGTTTTTTTTAAGGTTGAAAACCCATATTACATAAAAATGTCTCCTAGAAGTGGAAAAAAGAGGGGAAAAAGGGTTTTCCCCATTAAAATCTATGGTTTTTCCTATGTAGGATCCCCCTATAATTATTCAGTAAGAGTAGTTTATTTTTTTGAGTAGCGGGAAATATGGCTTTTAAATATCCAATGAACAGGTGAAATAAATTGTCTTTAATATGGGGGTCTGGAGGACTTTTCTGCCTTTGGAAAGTTTAAATTCACAAAAGACCTGAGCTTCCTCTTTGGTTTCTGCCTGGCTTTGCTGATCGCTGCAACTCTGTGTGCAGAGCGTTGAGCTTGACAGCGACGATGGTGGTGGCAGTGCTGCGCAGAAGCAGAAAATTTCCTTTCTTGAGAACAACCTGGAACAGCTTACGAAGGTTCACAAACAGGTAGGGGCTCCGCTTCCTTCCTTCTCTCCTTCCATCCTTCCCAAAAAATACACTTTTTATGGTTAAAAGGATGATTTTTGAAGGTAAAGTGTATTGAGTACCTTTAGTTCTCAACTAAAATTCTTGGTGTTAGGAGTCGCTGCTCTTCCCCCTACCTGTACTTCTTATCAATGTGTTAAAGAATTATTTTGTTTTCTGGGAAAATAGACTCTAGCAGTTTGGGCAAGGCTAATTGTCACTGTATTGGTGTAATGCATAAAAAAATCCCAGAATAAAGTGGTTGTTGTTATCTCGTGTGCTGATAGCCGGTTTCTAGATGGATTATGTATCCCACATTTTGACTTCTGGTCTAAAGCTGCTTAGTGGCACCCTCAGAGGAGTCAACCAGCAGAGTATGAAGGCAAAGAAATTGAGGTTTTCAATGCAGCTTAAGGGCTGGTGCCTCCCTGGGATGCTGAGGTTGGCCATTTCTGGGCATGTCCATCTCTGTCTCCTCCTCTTTCATGGAGTCCCCATTTCCTTTGCAATTCTGCTGTTCAGAGTAGTAAAAAAAACCAAAGATGCTTTTAATTTCATTTTTGAATACTGACATAACGTTTTCCAGTGCAGTTTTCTCAATCTTTTATTAGTGCTCTCCAAGATTTGCTTTATTTATCCCTGTGGAAGTGCCAAAAAAGCAAGCAGAGCCGGACCACGACAAGGAACCGCTAAGGTTCAGTATTTTGAGATTCCCAGGGAACAGATGGTTTAAAGGCCTAGTTTCTAAATGTGGAAATTGGTACATGTAAGGAGTGTTTTTCCCTTTACTGCTTTGCCTTTTTCACACTCAGTCCACACATTTGCTGGGTTTTCAGATATGGTTTTTTTTAGCTCTCATTAGTGTATATTTACTCAAAACCAACTATGAGTTCACATCTCATAAGAAACTCTGGAAGGGGAAAAAATCACATTGGACTTGACCTAATTGTGGTATCATCCTCCTCATTTTTCATATCATAACTATTTCATAGAACAAGGGTTCAACACTTGCAGAAAAAGCACATTGTGACAATTTTATTTTAGCTTTGTGTTTTCCCTTTGGCACTGGGCCTGGGCTAGCAGGTGTAAAGCATTCTGATTGTCCAACAACGTGTGCATGTCAGTACGTGCTGTTGCTTTACTGTGTGATTAATGCAGTAGTTAAACCACTTTATTCCCTTCGCTCCTGAAAAGGGAGAATTTGGAACAGTTTTCTGTTGACTTCTAATAGTGGTATAATCTGTTCAGTAGAAATTGTACTGGATTTTCTAACAGTTTGCATCAGTACATATTTAGGAAAAAAATCAATCCTCTCTTGGCGGTTGTTACATGTGAAGTTAGATGTTGTTCTGATAATTGATAGACCTTGCTCAGGTTTGTATTTCACTGAGGAAGTGCCTGAATTCAGAGTTGCATATAATAATGATTATATGATACGATATGATATATGATATAAGATATATGAGAGATATGATACATGATATAAGAGATATGAGAGATATGATATAAGAGATCATGAACTGGCCCCCTCAGTTCAAGAAGGACAGGAACTGCTGGAGAGAGTCCAGCGTAGGGCTACAAAGATGATCAAGGGAGTGGAGCATCTCCCTTCTGAGGAGCGGCTGAGGGAGCTGGGGCTCTTTAGTTTGCAGAAGAGGAGACTGAGGGGAGACCTCATTCATGTTTATAAATATTTAAAGGGTGAGTGTCACGAGGATGGAGCCAGGCTCTTCTCGGTGACAAACAATGATAGGACAAGGGGTAATGGGCACAAACTGGAACACAGGAGGTTCCACTTCAATTGGAGAAGAAACTTCTTCTCAGTGAGGGTGACAGAGCCCTGGCCCAGGCTGCCCAGAGAGGTTGTGGAGTCTCCTTCTCTGCAGACATTCAAAACCCGCCTGGACGCCTTCCTGTGTAACCTCATCTGGGTGTTCCTGCTCCGGCAGGGGGATTGGACTGGATGAGCTTTTGAGGTCCCTTCCAATCCCTCACGTTCTGTGTGATTCTGTGTCTGTGTGAAGAGATATAAGAGATATGAGATATCACATCTCATATATGAGATGTGTTTTCTTAGAGACGTTTGAGGCATTGAAGTTTCTGCATTTTCCCATGTGCTCGAATAGGGAACAAGTAGGCACGCCATAAGCAGTGGAGATGATGAATTTTTGGTTTCAGGATCAGCTCTCTGAAATTCCGCTGAAGAGAATAAATTTTCTCATAGGATATGTTTGAAATGTCTTTCCTCGCAGTTGGTACGTGATAATGCAGATCTTCGTTGTGAGCTTCCTAAGCTGGAAAAACGACTTAGGGCTACGGCAGAGAGAGTTAAGGCCCTGGAGAGCGCACTGAAGGAGGCCAAGGAGAACGCCATGCGAGACCGCAAACGCTACCAGCAGGAGGTAGATCGCATTAAGGAGGCCGTGAGAGCCAAAAACATGGCACGGAGAGCGCACTCCGCTCAAATTGGTAAGGACATGGAGCTAAGGGGTTAGCGGCTGCTCACATACTTCATGGTTGGTCTGTTTGCTTGTTTTCAAAAGAGAGCGAGGTCTGAAAGCAGCAGTGCAGGGCAAACCACGGGGTCTGCTTCTCCGCTGCACAGGAATCTTCAAAGGCTTCACTTTTTAATAGAATCTGCCCCACCTAAAGTTTAAAGCGCCTCTGCTGTTTAACTCGGTAAATAAATGGCATAATGGGTCTTGTGTGCCCTTCTAGTGACCTGAAAACTTGTCTCTTTAAATTAGTCTCTCACTTTCTTCTTCCTCCCCCACATGCTCTCCTTCTGCTTTCATTCTTTCCTTGCCTTTCTGGGCCTTGTCCCTTCCTCTTTTTCCCCAATTACATCCTCCTTGTGATTTAATTTGGGCTGTGCAGAGTCAAAAATCATCCTGTATAATTCAGATGCTTGATACGTCTGTGTGGCACAACCTGAACACGTGCATACAATCAAATAGTGTTTAAGACGGGGCAATTTTTGCAATTATTTGTTGGAATTGCTAAAGAGGAAGGGTAATGCTCCGGATAACGATGCTAATATTGGTGCCTTAAAACCCAAGAGAGAATTAGGCAGCACACAACGTTTCTCTTGTAGAAAGCCATTGCCAGCTTTGTCTTGGCATCTTGGGGGTTGGACTGGATGATCTTTAGGTGTCTTCCAACCCAAACCTGATCTTCTGCAGTGGTGTGGGACACACAAGGTACATCACTGACCACCAAGTGGGTCACGTTGTGCAGAGAGTCCATAGTCTTTGCAGAGATGACTGTCATTAAATGTTGTTTGGGAACAACGGGGTTTGTACGAGAGGAGAAGATGAGGTAGATAACCTTGTGTGAAAGCTAAACATCTCTTTTGGTTTCCTCCTTTTCCTCTGCAGCCAAGCCCATCCGCCCTGGCCATTACCCAGCGTCTTCTCCAACGGCTGTCCATGCCATCCGAGGGGGAGGGATGTCCAATTCCAGCTACTACCACAACACCAAATAGATGAGAAGTAAGACCACGAGTAACTTACTCATCTGTTCTTGCACTCATCACTCAGCTTTCTCATATTTCAGCCTTGCTTTTAGAATACCCACAGTGGTTTTTTTTTTCTAGTTTTAGTAGGAGTCGTTTGCTGATAATTTAACTGTGAAAATCAGTAATTTAAGTGAGGAATGCCTTGTTAGAGTGCTTTGCAAGCTGCCACTGAGAGTTTTTATTTTAATTACTTATCACTTAAAACTTTTTTTAATAAACTGAAACGCTCCATTAAATCTGCACTGAAATTCACACGTAGAGGTGTGAAACTCATCCAGTAAAAATAGAGATCCAGAGGTTCCTTCTGCCTATGTAATTTTCTGCTTTCTGTAACGTGAAAATGTGTCCTTGTGGTGATATTCCAGCCTGGGACAGGGATAGAGGAGCCGTGAGTGGCAGCAGCGCAGAGCTCTCCAAATTTGAGTGTCACCATTTGACAAACTTTACTTGTGTTTCTTTAGCTCTCTTCAGATTAAAATGTAAATATTAGACTTTAATTGCAAGGGCTTGAGGGTTTCCTCCTAAGCAAAAACCTCTTCCTGGAAAGGTGAGCAGCATATTCCCATGAGACTGCTTTTTCTACCCTACCATCCTATTTATTTCCTTAAATGCTCATTATTTCTCGGATATTTTACACCTGCTATGATTCTGAATGATAACTTTATGCTGTAGGCATACTACGAGTTGGATGGTAGTGACTGGCTGTGAAAAGCAGCCAGCGGACTGCTAAGTTGTCCCTCCAAGATTGGCTTTGTTCCCTCCTTGAGGATTAATTGTCTTAAAGCTCTCTTGTGGTGGCGTGTGGTTTCCTTTAGGCACTCGGCATTCTTGGCTGGTTTTTTCTTCTTCTGAGAATGTTTCGTGTCACGCATGCATGCAAACCATCCATCACGTCGCACTCGAGCTGTTATTGTGTGCTGCAGATTGTTTCTGTTCATTGTGTTTTCCACAAGCCCTGTAGCTACGAGCAACATATTTTCACCGCGGATGAATCAGGGCAAGTCTTTGCTGAGTGTTTTTGTGCATTAATTCATTCTGGACTCAAATTGCCTTTTCCATCTCGCAGGCAAGATAGCCTCTGTCGATCTACTTCATTGCATTCCCACCTCGGAAAGAGCAGTGTGTGATAGAGGCACGTCAAATATTTCCAAACATACATCATAACAGCTGCTCTCTGGGGAAAAAAGCTGCTACTGCCTAAACTGGGTGGGCCTTTAATGGAACATCTGTGAAATTAAAACTATCACACTCAAGCATGCCACACGTTAGGTATTGGTACGTGCCAAGAGAACAACTGTAGATCTATAGGATTCATTAACAAAATAAATATACTTAAACCGAGATGGGTGTATAACGAGGTAGGACTTTGGAAGTCAATAAAAAGCGATCGGAAGGCATTGGGTTGAAATGTTGAGGTTTAGATTTGAAGGTGGTGGAGAAATGAGCAGGTTCAGGCCATGCTTGGGACGTGTTGCAGAGGAGCTCATGGACAACTGTAGAAGGAACTGGCTACAGTTAGGGATATATGGTTTCTGAAAAAATTAGAAACAGAAATTCTGAAAACCAAAAGGAAACCCTGCAGGTTGGAATGAAGCCATTTAAGAAGTGTGTATGTTTGGGGTTTTTTTTCTTAATTAACGGTAATTTCTGGCTTTTATTGGTCCAGTTTCCTTATTGCTCAGGATCGAGTCTAACGCCTGGCTGTGTTATGTATTATGTGTTATATGGGAGCGGGAGTTGGAGTCAAGGATCCTTCTGGGTCCCTTCCAACGGGAGATATTCTGTGGTTTTATTCTATGATTAATACTTCAGAGAAGCCTATTTTAAGTTTTATAATTGGTTTATAAACTCAGTCCAGTTCTAGGTGTTTTGCGCAGATCCAGAAAGATGTCTTGAAGATGCAGTAAACCAAGGCTGGGCAGTGAGTAAAGAGGGTCAGATCTCATCAGTTTGGGTCCTTCGGTTAAGAAGATTATTGGCAAATGGCAACTACTTGGTTGCCAAGTGATTTTGGGAGTATCAAAGTAAGCTGAATTCTAAGCTTGTTGGATGAAAGCCCAGGGGGCTGAGTAAGAGTGTTAGTAAGGTACTACTTGTGTAGTGAAAAGCTTATACAGATTATTTCCATAATATTGTTGAGAGATATCTATGCTCTGCAGAGCTACACCGTGGCAGTCCTGCAGAGCTAGAATTAGGACAGAGCTTCCTTTTATATTCATTTAACATCTATAAAATATATGGTGGGGCTTCTATGTAGATGGTTGCAGTCAAGTAACATACTTGTATCTCTGGGATTAAAACTTTATGCCAGGATGAGGGGGAATTTATCTTACGTTCATTCATCATTCCCAGTACAGATAACAGACATTTATTGCTGTTAAACTGGTCAGTGATTATGATTTATTAACCCAGCAGCAAACCCCTCAGGGATTGGCAAAAGCCAGTCTTGCTCGTGCTGTTTTCACAAAATTCATTGGAAAAATTTCTTCTGCGGAGCTGGGCAAGCCCTGGAGGGGCCACGTCTCCTAGGTTCAACGTGTGTGTTATAAGGAGATGATTTCTACCGCAGAAAACATAGCGTTTGATGAGTAACAGTAGCAGATGGGAGAGAAAACAACTGTGGGCGTTAATGAAACGTGCTCCTGAAATTGCAAATTGCTGGGAGCTGCCTTAAGCAGGAGGCTCGGGAGGCCAAGGAGCGTCTGCAAATCTCTACGAGGTAATTCCTCACACTGCAGACGTTTTTGAAAACACACTTTGTTACCTGGGGCATACCTCAAACCTAGATTTTGGGAATGGTCAGAAGGGGAACTCACACTGGTGCAGCTCACAGAAGTGCTGCGGTGGGGTCCTGCAGAGTATTTGTGTAGGGAGGTGGAGCTGGAGCTGCTACAACCCCGCAGCTGAGTTTGTGCCAGGGGTTGATGGAGATCAACTACAGAGCTTGGTTGTGTATTGTCGTATTTAAAGCTCTTCATGGAAATACTTTCTAAATATAACTTAAAACAGAGCATGTTTTAAAAACCACTAATATTAAAGTTTTTCAAATAATCCCAGTAATTAAAATAGCAAAAATTGTGGTGTGTGTTTTGCTTTAGATAGCAACCAAACCAAACCAAGCCCCAAACTGTTTTGACTCTCATGCTGCCTTGCAAAGCTTAGGCTGAAAACTGCACACAACTATTAAAGTCACTATACAGTTTGGTTTTCAGAAGATTTTTCTTCTAAATCATTAAAGAAAACCTAAAATAACAATGTTTTGGAAATGGCAATAAGCATAAAGGCAGTGTCTAAGCAAACGTGAACATCCCTTGCAGAGTGCTGGTTTAGTGACTGCCAGATGGAAGTGAATAATAGGAAAATGCATTAAGTGGTAGAAAACCACATTGAGTTGTTTTTTTCATGCTTAAAATACGTGGCAATGTTAGCACAGATCACAGAACTCCAAAATGAGCTGTTTAAATTAATGACCTGGACCTGCTGACAACCCCATCTGGAGCATGGGCTGCTGTTACTCAGTGGCTGGTGGAGAGGTGAGCCGTGGTGGTGCTGCACTTCAGCTCATAATTTAAGAAGGGTTTCTCCAGGTGGAGAGATCAGCTTGGAGTCTGCTTTAACTACACCTGGGACCTAACCTGGCCCTATACATGGGACAGAGCTCGGGGACAGCTCAGGGCAAGCATAGATGATAACAACGCTTGAGAGGCTTTGTTGGACAGACGGACCAGAGCAGATGTGTTCAGATTTGGAGTAGGAAAGCCCACACATTCTCAAGGAAACTGCTGACCTGCCCATTCTACCCATCTCATATTCACTCAAACCCGTCTGATACCTCATTTCAAAAGAGAAGGAAAGGACTGACATGAAGCTGTCGGTCTTCATAACACCAGAAGGCCATGGAGCTGTTGGAGCAGGTTCAGAGGAGGCCACGAAGATGCTCAGGGGCTGGAGCACCTCCCCTTTGGGGACAGGCTGAGAGAGTTGGGGTTGTTCAGCCTGGAGAAGAGAAGGCTCCGGGGGGAACCTTATTGCGGCCTTCCAGGACCTGAAGGGGCTACAGGAAAGCTGGGGAGGGACTTTTGACAAGGGCAGGTAGTGATAGAACAAAGGGGAATGGTTTTAAACTGGATAAGGGGAGATTTAGGTTAGACATTAAGAGGAAATCCTTCCCTGTGCGGTGGTGAGGCCCTGGCCCAGGTTGCCCAGAGAAGCTGTGGGTGCCCCCTCCCTGGCAGTGCCCAAGGCCAGGTTGGACGGGGCCTGGAGCAGCCTGGGCTGGTGGAGGTGTCCCTGCCCATGGGGGTTGGACTGGGGGGGTTTGAGGTCCCTTCCCACCCAAACTCTGCTGTGTTTCTGTGTGCTCACGATTGCGTTCGTGCTCCATCACAGCCTATTGAAATTAGATTAAAGCAGCTTGCTCTGGTGTCTGTATTTGTGAAATTCAACATGCAGACAGGTTCTTGTCTGTGTGTCTCTTACCTTAAATGTTCCCAGCACCTCCCCATCCATGAGCAAGAAGAATACCTGTATTTAATATCTAGCCAGGCCATAGTTAACCTAGCCAGTAAGATGTGTGAATTAATAACCAGCTTGGTTTCCTTTAAGGTGTTCATAAGGCTGACAATTAGGAGCTAACCACAATCCCCACCATTAATTTAGGGTAACTTTAGAGACACTGATGCATCATTATTTATTTCTTTTTATAATTTGAATATGGACAAGTTTTGTTTTAAACAACTATGCAGGAAAATGCTTAACTGAGGAAAGCACATCTCTTCTCAGGCTGATTTTGTATTCGCTCATTTGAAAATGTGATGGGCACATTCAGTTATTGAAGTGCCTCTTTCCACATGGCTAATCAGAAATATGTGGGGAAAAATCCCACCCCACGGGTTTTTAAAAGTCTGGATTTCAAATGTTTTATAATCAACTTTAAATCACCTTTGTACTGGGCAACGGGCCTTGAACTTTGCTTCTGGATGGAATTACTATGAAATTAGTGAGAAAGATGCCTGTATCATTATATATATAAGTATAGAGTATATTTTTATGATGTATTATCAGGGTATTACATATAAAATGTTATTATATTTCTGTAAACAGCTAGTGTATAAGTGTGTATATATACAGGTCAGGAAAGCAGCTCTGTGTTAGGAGACATAGAACAGGACTGGTTTGGGGGTTTTACTTTTTAATCCTTTCATTTGATAATACGTTTGCAAACTCAATTGCAGTTACTTTCCTTATTTGTGAAAAACGGGAAATGTTTCCTATTCCTTTTCCCTTTAATAAGATACCTTCAGCATATCCAAGTGCCAACCAGTGGAGAGAAAAATCCTATTAAAAGAACAGAGATAAAAGAGGAGGGAAAAAAAGACCTTTAGATAGCGTTTGAAGGTGTATTTAGATGAGACAGAATGCGGTGGTACAGGTGGCAAAGAATGCATTTCATCAGGAGAATTGCTTCATTACAACCATGCCAATTTGTGGCCTGGAAATTTGAACGATGGAGAGGAATTTTGTCAGATCTAAGACTCAATAACCAAGAGGCTCATTTCATGCATGGTTAAGGCTGTGCTTTACCAGGTTTCCTTGCTGTTGCTGTGGCTCTTTGGCTGATATCTGCTTTCTAATCTCAAACATCCGCTAATGATCCTTACACCCACTAATGATCCTTACCCTTCTGCTCTCTTTTGACAGGTCGATTCCACTTAGCATGTTAAGGACTGTCATTAAGTCACTAGTTTCTTTTTCCCCCCCCCTCTCTTCGACCCGATCCACGTCCTCTTCATCCTGCGCTTCCTACAGCCATCTGCAACGCACTGGTCCCAGGTATTTCGAGCTTCGTAGGATCTCCACGTGTACAGAAGTGTTCAACTCTTCTACAGATACTTGTACAATGTATTTAACATAACCATCTAAGTAAGGATAGGAAGTCTGCCACTCAGAATCGCTCACCGACTGCGTTCGACCCCTTGGCACTGGTTGGGTTGGGGCTTCTACGCTCAGATTGATGCTTTTTGGGAGTCCTCTGTTGCATCGGTAAACCCTGACTTCTGGCATCAAAGAATAAATTATTCAGTGACCAAGTGCCATCAAAGGCAGGTGATTGTGCTCTGTCATGACTGATTTACTGTATAATATACATATTATTTTATATTTTTAGGGGATGAAAATGTGCTGCTACGTGGTTTAATTTTACTGCTTACATTTTCAGAAGTAAAATTTCCCCAAAGAACCATTTGTAATATCCTGATAAAAACCTTTTGGACTGTATAAAATCACCTTTATTGCAGTACCTGGTAAAGATCAAACGGGATGCAGAGAAATCTGTTAGTATAGACCTAGGTTTTGAAGTTTGGTAGTGACGTGACTATATCTGTGTGACCTATCTTAAAATTCAGAGCCCATCTGCTTTGTAGTTCTCCCTCCGGTGGTGGCTTTTCCCGGAGCGCGATGCCTAGCCGTGTGTTTGTGAGCGTTGTTCTCTATGAAGCGTTGAAGGTTTCAGAACGCTGCCGAAATTTTGGGAAATCCGATGAGCAGCTCCCCCCTCTTTCCCCTTCCCGCAGGCCTTCGGCAAGCCCCGATCTGTCCACACCGGAATTCAGACACCGGAGTGAGCAAACACTTCAAGAAACAAAACCAAAATCCCCCAAACCCCAGACATTACCTTAAAAAAAAACTACAGAGAGGGTGCAAAAGGAGATGAGAGTTGTGCACTCGAGCAAATTTGGCAATACGTTTGCAAAGAGGTGGGGAGCATTTTGCAGGGGGAAAGGATGTCTTTGTAAGTCACGACCCGCAGGTTGTCCCACGGATGGTGCGGCTGTGGGCTCGGCATGAGCCCATTGCCTTTTTTGGGTCTCTCTTTCGCACCAGACAGCGAAACGTCCACCTCCTCGGCAAGGGGGCACAGGCACCGCTCGGGGAAGGTTCCGCTGGCAGCAGCCACTGCTCCTCCGCTCCCACGCGTCCCCTCCCGGGGCGATGAGCACAGCACCCGGCCCTGCGCCTTCACCAAGCGGGATGGACTCCAGGACAGTTACAGCCAGCACAGCCCCCGTCTTGTTTTGCAGACGTTTGCTCTTCTTTAATTTCAGATTGATCGTTATTTTTCATTTACCATCGTGTCTGTTGGTAGCTGTAGGACTCCTGAGTTAGTGCAGAGCGTTTTGAGAGATTGTGAATCGACCTTTTTCTACTGAAGTTATTTAGGCTGTTGCAAAGTTAAGTTGGACTTAATTTAACTGTTTTGTTGTTGTTGTTTTTTTTAATGTTGCACTATTTTGGGAAGCGTTTTGCTAAAAAAATATTTAATGCTGTTGCAAATTTGCATGTATTTAATTTATTTTGTATTTTCCAAAGTTTTCTATTTCCTTTCTTCACGTGCATGTGCACTGCCAGCCAAACGAACTGTGAACTTGCCATATGCAATCTCGAATAAAACGACCAAGTCAGAACCACCTTGTGCTACCCTACCAGCTTGTGAGAGCTGATATTTCTACTAGGAGCTGATGATCCTCTTGTTCTGGTTCTACAACGGCTGTCTTGGGAAAGATACCAACCTGAATTGCTGTCGGAGACTTCGTATTGTAGTTAAACTCTTATTTTGTCTTTTGAATTCGAAGTTCAGTGTGGAAGTATATTGTAGATACAGCAGTGTTAGCTTAAAAAAATACCCACATTATTTACTCCTAACGCCACCACTAGTTAAATTTGGCAGTTTAGATGGTTTTCTTCGGCTCGAGTAAGAAGTTAGCTTTGACATCTCTTAATTGTGCTGGTGCTGATCAGGCAGTCAGTTCACCCAGCGAAAACAATCTAAGCTTCTCCAAGTTAACTTTTACTTCAAGACTGCGGGAGGACTTTCTAGAACCTAAATGTTGAGAAGACGCCTTAAAAAGGCGAAAATCCTCAAAAAGAAATGCGGGAGATATTCACTCGATTGGAAATTATTAATTCTGTCAATTGAACTTAACTCTGCTTACGGATGCTCGGTTTGTACGCCTATTTTAATTAGGCAACTTCAGTTTGTATTGCGCGTTGTATATTCAACTTTTATACCATTTTTGAGTCTTACACATTTTACATCTAGAGATGAAAACCCCACATCTGCTCTGCAGGGGTCAAACCCCATATTTCCACTACTCGCTGCTACGCTACTTTCTTTGCTCTCTGAATGTTGGGTTTTATTTATTCCGGGCGGATTGAAAAGTTGTGATTTGTGTAGCGCAAATTAAAGTTCACATCGACAATGTCTTGCACGGGACAAATCTTGGTGGAAATACCGTTCACGAATGGAAACTGTACTTTGGATGGGAGTGAAGTGCATATTGTTCCTTTTGCTAGTGATTAAAAAGGATTTCCTGCTCACTCGAGCTTCTCTTAATGATACGTTCAAAATATCTTGTGCTTGTCCTTGAGTTCATGTTTCATCGACTCGTTTTCTTGAAAGCGAGGAGAGTTTTCATCCTGGAAAGATCTTGGCTGCTGCATTTTTAAGTTTGCATTTAACTCAACAAGGGCGAGAGTGGATTATCCTGGATATATTAAAACCTAAAAAATAAGTCCCAAAAAGCTACTACAATAATTTCTGCCTCCAGAACCTTATGAGTAACTTTTACATTTCATTTTATAAAGTGTAATGGACATATTTGCCTGCGATTTTGACAAATTAAGGCTTGCAAATAAGTGAAAGAAAGAATTTTAAGCTGAACATCGATTCATTTGAATAAATGGGTATTTCAACCAAACGGTCACGCAGATCCAAAAGGAAAAGGCCTAATCCAATTTCCGCTATAGGAGAAGAAAGACTTTGTGTGAGCACGAATGAAGTGCATCTCCCTTGGGAAGGGAAGGAATCCGGAAATAAACTGCCAGGATAATCTTCATCTCCCCTTGCTTTGATTTCGGTCCTCACTGTGCCTGTACGAACCGAGAAGAGCTGGAGAGCATCCGCTGTGCAGGAGGGGACGCGGCTCCAGCTGCTCCCCTCTCGCTCTCACAGTCTTTGTCCATTCAAACACTTATTTATGGTGGGAGAACCACGGGGGTTGAGGCTTTCTGTAGAATTCTCCATGTCTAGTTTGTAAAGTGTGTACCGTGTACTGCAGATGTGTATTCTCTGAGCTCTGTGTATCTTTACAGTAGTGTTCAATTTAGGAAAAGGAAAAAAAAAATAAATTGTGGACACGTTTTTGCTGGTAACAAGGGGAAATTTTTTGCCATTGCATCAAACGATGCTGAAATGTATTAAACTCTTGATAGCAGCCCCGAGCCCTTTTCCCTGTCCCGTGGAGATAAAATCTTTTATCTTCGTTCTAAAACTCTTATCAGCGATGGATGGATACACTGGCAGACTGCATGATGTATCATTCAAAAACCGTTACAGTGGAAAATAAAACTGAACTAAACTTTGCGGTGTGCGTGTTGTGTGACACCGATGCTCAGCATCTCTTACTGGGGCGTTGTGTCTGCCTGTTCAGTGGAGCTTCAGGGAGTCCCTGAGTCCACCCTGGAGGGATTTTAGCTTTTCCTCAACCTGTAGAAAGTAATCAGATGGCTTGGATGAGTCATTGGGAAATAAACACAGGATTATTCTTTATTTTTTGGTAAATAATTGCATCTTCTCCATGGAAATATCCCTTCTTCCTGCTCTTTTTCAGTAGCCTGGAGGGTGACTCCTCCACTTACCCTCTGCATGCATTTCTACTTATATAGGAATGTTACAGTCACGTTACATACGTAATGGAGTAGAAATTCCTGCGTCCTTGCACCTCCCTTAACTCAAGAAGAGCTTATTTTCAGTAATTATTACTCTGAGCATTTCTCAATGATATCGTTAACTTTTCTACTCAGCAATGCACATTTCTGGCGCTCCAGAATTTCTGTAGAAGTGGCTCGCTCTATTTTTCTAGTAGATTTCTAATGAGGATCATGCGGTTTTCCATCATTACTTACGCGTGCTCGCGCTGCTTTCGCTTGGGGCCTGCTGGGAACCCAGAACCATAGGAAGCCACTTGCAGCCAGGCTCTATCAGTGCTTTTGCCAGTGATGAGTGGCTGATGGTCAGCGTGGCAAGTAACTAAGAGTTAGTTAAATGCTAAGCATAAAAAATAAGCATTTAGATGCACCAACTGCATCAATGTATTAATATAATCATGCCGATTAACCCGGTGTGTTTAGTAGGACAGGTCGCTGTCCTAGCAGACTTGGAAATTAGGCACAGACTTACAAATTAGGCACTTCTTCCTCATGCTGTCTGCGAAGTTCCTCCCTGTGGGATGAAGAGGCTATAAACCAGTATAAACCAGTGTAGATGGTTTATACTGGGGAGAGCAGCTGGGCCATCCCAGGCATCCCCAGTGGTCCCGCACAAGGCGAACGCTGCACGGTGCCACACCACAGAGCTTTTCCATAAGCCAAAAGGATGCACCCAGTGACATCTCTCCGATACAGTTTGTGCCTGGAGGATGAACTCAATTACAGAGCAGGCTGTTCGCAAGTGCATCCCTACAATTTCCTTAGTTCAGAACGTGGGATTGCATCAGTTAATTAACGCTATCAAAACAGCACAAATTACTGTCTCCATTTCCAAGGTTCAGCTTACACAAAAGCACAGTGAAAAACAAAGGACGGGGGCTTGGATCCCCAGAAAAAGTCACTGCAAATCTATCACTACTGCTGAAAACACTACTTTGCTACAACTTAAATACTTCAAAGTTAACTTCCAGCAGAGCTGAACTCAGTATTTCTCCTAAAATGAGGACCTTCAGTAATTCTGGCTTAAGACACCCGGTACCCCGACGAGTGCTCCCCGAGGCCCGGCTTTTCCCCGCCGCGGCCCGGGCTGGGCTGAGCCCTCTCCGGTGCGGA